AGATGATGAAAATAAGTTCAAATATATGATTAATTCTAATAAATATGGATTACACCTATATTTTTAAAAAGTATGCACTTATTTGTAAAATTAGGAAAAATAATACAGCTACAGGTGCTTATAAATGATTTCTAAAATGAAATAGTACAGTGAGTTAAAAATAAAGAGATGCAAATTGGTATACCTTGTGATTACTTACAAAAAAAGCTTGTGTAGCAATATTAATATTAGATCAACTAGAATGTAGGGCAAAAGTAAAGCATTAATGCTGATAAAAGAAGATAAAAGCAGAGACCTATAGAGAAGATATTACAGTTATGATTTGTGTGAAAAGAACATCAAAATAATATGCAACAAAAATTGATAGAATTAGATGATGCAATCACACTGGAAACTGATAGATCAAGCAGTAACATTGGTAGGTATACAGATTATTTGTTTAACAAAATTAAGTAACAATCTAATGAACACATATAAAATAATGATTATATGCAATAAATGAAGAATATTATTCTCAAATGTACAGAAAGCCATTGTGGAGGATGTGACCACTGTCTGTCCCAGGAGCCAGAACAGAGATAGCTTTCTGCAAACCTCCCTTAAAAATCATCTGATCATAACTGATGTTCATTCTAACATAAATTAGCCCCTTTTACTTGCCTCCTGCTATGTGCTGTTCGTTGTCCTGACCTGGTCAAGCCTGTAAAATAATTTCTGTACCTGGCAGAATTCTTATATTAGTACCTCTGACTATTTGCCCCCTTTATCCCATATAATTCTCTGGTGCATACCATGAGGTATGGGGATTCATTTCTTCTAGCAGCCAACCATGACGGGCCTCATATGTAAGTTTCCCTTAATAAACTCCATTAATTACTAGATAGGAGTGGCCAGCCTGCTTCTTATGGAAGTAGATTTTCAGTCTTGGGGATTTTTCCTGTGTCTGTGTGTACAAACAGCCATTTCCACAAAATATTTAAAAGAATGAATAAAAATTATTTTTTTCTCTTTTAAAAAATATTTTATTTTTCAATTATAGTTGACATACAATATTATCTTAGTTTCAGGTTTTTAACACAGAGCTTAGATATTAGTATAATTTATGAGTGATCACCCGGATAAATCCAGTACCCATCTGACACTGTACATAGTTGTTATAATACTACTGACTATATTCCTCAGGCTATACTATACATCCCCATGACTATTTTGTAATTACCAATTCATACCTGTTACTGTCCTCCCCACTCTGCCCATCTCTCCAATCGCTTTGAATCTGGCAACCAAAATGTTCTGTGTATCTATGAGCTTGTTTCTTTTATGTTTGTTCATGTATCCTGTTCTCCAGATTCTACGTATAAGTAAAATCACATGGCATTTGTTCTCTGTCTGACTCATTCCATTCAGCACAATACTATCTAGGTGCAACCATGTTGTTGCACATGGCAAGATTTCATTCTTTTCTATGGCTGAATAATATTCCATTGTATATATGTGCCACCTCTTCTGTATCTGCTTATCCAATGATGCAGACCCAGGTAGCCTCCATATCTTGGCTATTATAAATAATGCTTTAATTATAAATAAAGCAGATGTCTTTTGGAAGTCTTGTCTTGTGTTTCTTCAGAAATATACCAAGAAGTGGAATTACTGGGTCTTTTTATGTCTCTTGTCATAGCTTTTGTTTTAAAGTCTATTTTGTCTGGTATAAGTATTGCTGTCCCAGCATTTTTTTGTTTCTATTTTTATGAAATCATTTTTTCCATCCCTTTACTTTCAGTCTGTATATATCTTTCGATCCGAAGTGAGTCTCTTGTAGGCAGCATAGGTAAGGGCCTTGTTTTCTTATTCATTTGACCACCCTATTTCTTTTGAATAGAGCATTCAATCCATTTACATTTAGAGTAATTATTGATAAATATGTAGTTATGCTATTTTATTATTTATATTTTTTATCTTATTATTATTTTTCTTCTTAAAGAAGTCCCTTAACATTTCTTGTAATACTAGTTTGGTGGTGATAAACTCCTTTAGCTTTTTCTTGTCTGGGAAGCTGTTTATCTGTCCTTTGATTCTAAGTGATAGCTTTGCTGGGTAAAATAGTCTTGATTGTAGGTTCTTGGTTTTCATCACTTTGAATATTTCATGCCAATCCCTTCTGGCCTGAAAAGTTTCTGTTGAAAAAATCAGCTGACAGTCTTATTGGGAGCTTCTTTGTAGGTAACTGGTTTTCTCTTGCTGCTTTTAAGATTCTCTCTTTGTCTTTAAGCTTTGACATTTTAATTATGATGTGTCTTGGTGTGGGCCTCCTTGGTTTCATCATATTTTAAACTCTCTGAGCTTCCTGTGCTTGAATGTCTATTTCCTTTGCCAGGTTAGGGAAGTTTTCAGCCATTATTTTTTGAAATTGGTTTTCAATTCTTTGTTCGCTCTCTTCTCCTTTTGGTACCCTTATGATGTAAATGTTAGTACACTTGATGTCGTCCCAGAGGCTCCTTAAACTATCCTCTTAAACAATCCTCATTTTCTGATTTTTTTCTTTTTTTTTCTTGTTTCCTGTTACCATTTCTTCTAAATCACTGATTCAGTCCTCTGCTTCATTGAATCTACTGTTGGTTTTCTCCAATGTTTCTTCCTTTCAGTTTTTGCATTTTTCATTTCAGACTTTTTCTTATGTTTTCTGTCTCCCTTTTTATGTTTCCTGGTTTTTTGTTAAAATTCTCACTGAGATCATTGAGCATCATAATAAGCAGTGTTTTGAACTCTACATCTGGTTGATTCTTTGTCTTCATTTTGTTTGGTTCTTTTTCTGGAGCTTTGTTCTGTTCTTTATTTGGGATGTTTCTCTGTCTCCCCTATTTTGGTTGCCTCCCTGTGTTTATTTCTGTGTATTAGGTAGAGAAGTTATAGCTCCCAGTCCTAGTAGAGTAGACTTATAAAGTAAGTGTCCTGTGGGGCCCAGTAGCACAGTCTTACCAGTCACCTGAGTTGGGTGCTCCAGGGGTGCCCTTTGTGTAGGTTGTATATGCCCTCCTGCTGTGGCTGAGCCCTGGTTGCTATTGGCACATCAATCAAAGGGATTGATCCTTAGAGGCTGATTGATTGAGAGGACTGGCTGTGACTAAAGTGAAGAAGTTGTTGTACAGGGGCTGATCCTATGGTGGAAGATTCCCTTTAGCAGGGCTCTGGCACATTCCTAGTGTGTCCTTTGGGTGGGTCATTTGTGGAAGTAGTTGGGTGGTGCTCTGGTGTGGTCTGAAGCTGGCCAGGTTTGTGAACCTTTGAGAGATTTTAAGAAAGTTCACAAAATGAACTAAGATAGGCCATTTGTATGGAAAAGCTACTGGAAGCAGCTTGGGTGGGCCCACAAATTGGGTAGGATGGAGTCTCAGGGAATCACCAGGACAGGGTGAATAATGTCAGCCAGGTTGATGGAGACTCAGATATGGTGGCAGCCTGAGTCTGCATGCTGGATGAGAAGAGGCTCAGTGAAGGAACAAAGGTTTCTGCCAGTATTTCTGTTTGGGAGAAAGCTGCTCCTCCAGCCCTCACTCTGAAGCCAGACAATTTAGTTCCTCTCTGTACATCCTTAGCACTTTCATGATGCTGTTCCAGCATTGGAGCTCAGAGATAATGAGTCTGTTAGTGAGTCAGTCTATTCATGTGCCATTTAAGAGGACCCCCTGGTACTTCAGCAGCCCTTCGTCTCACTCAGTCACTGTCTCCATTGGTTTTCACAGCCAGAAGTTATGGGGACTTCTGTTTCTGGCACTGGGCCACTGAAATGGGGAGCCTGATGATGGTCTTGGACCTCTCACTTCTCAGGGAAAACATCCACAGCCAAGATATCCCTCTTGATTTTTAACAAATACACATGAGTGTGGGACAAGTCCTTTGTGAGCCTCTGCCCCTCCTACCAATCTTGATGTGGCTTCTTCTGTATATTCCTAGTTATAGGACTTCTGTTCAGCTAGACTTCAGGTGATTCTCAATAATCGTAGCTGTGTAATTTAGCTATAACTTCAATGTGGTTGTGAGAGGAGGCAAGCACAGGTTTACCTACTCCACCATCTTGACTGGAATTCTCAAACACTCTCTCTTTACAATACAGTAGAGTGAATTTATAAATCATTAATGACAGTTTTTAAAAATGTTTACATATGGAAAGTAAAAAACATTTCTAAATAATTTAAATGTTCAAGAAATATTATAATGGCAATTACAAAGTATTTTGAAATAAATAACACTCAGAATAATTCTAAAGTAAGTAAAAGGAAGAAGAATAAAATCAAGACATAATAATAAAATATAAAATCAAGAAGCAAAGGGGCCAAATAGTTCTCTGAAAGAATTAATTTAATAAAGAAACCTTCAACAGTACTAATAAAGAAAAAAGGAGAAAAAGAAAAATAAATAATACCAGCAACATAAAGGAGCCATAACCAGGTGGAATAGACATTTAAATAGAACCATAATGGGATACTAAAATAAATGTTTTGAATAAATTTGAACCTAGTTGATATAATTTTATAGTAATGTTACATTACCAAAATTGATATAAACTGATAAAACCAATAGCCACCAAATAAATTGAAAGAACAATTGAGAGGATCCTCCCTCAATATAAAAAGAAGCCACATTGGATCCATAGGTAAACTGTTTATAAAATGGTAGAATAGTTTATATAAGAAATATTACTAAAAATTAGAATAAAAATTTGCTTTTGTATCAATAAATAATATTAACATAATGTGATAAAATCACATTATTTCTCTTTACACCCATGATTTATACCCTTGTATGTCCATTCCCCCAGCTGTCTTGCAGCCTCTCTGTAGTACCCCCTGTACAGCTCAGAATGGTACTTTCTCCCAGAATGTGTGATTGTATTCAATATTGAGAGTATATATGGCTCTTACCTCCCTCCCTGTAGAAAGTAGCAGTTATAAGCTGTGACCTTACAGAGGAAAAGTGCAAAACAACGTCTGGGCCAAGTTCATCCTTACTGCATGCAGCAATACTTGGCACGCTGACATGGTCAAGGGCAGAGAGCTTCCTCACACTTCCTCTGGTTGGCTGTGTGCCCAACTGGCCTGTGTTTACGCACAGATCGTGTTTCAGTCTTCTAATTATAAGGTATGCTCAGAAATCCCAGACCACACTCATAGTTACTGCAAAGAGTCTCCTGACCTGCTGGGCAACACAGTCTGTCTTGGATCACTAAAACTGATTGTTTCAAACTGCAGTTTCTGAGAAAATTTTAGAATTATCTTTATTTTAAAAGAACAAATTGGAGAAAACAAATAGGTGAGTGACTATATCAAAGCTGTGTTACTATCTTTTCTCTACCCTTTAGATTTGTTTCAGGTGAAATAAGTTGCGGACGTTGAATTTGGATATATCTTTTTTCCTTGCTTTTCTAAATATAAAAAAAGATTGCAATATATTTGGTTATAATTTTGTGTAAACTTTTTAATTCTTTTTGTCAGATATTTACTACATGATATTAAATTATGTTGCTTCACAAAAAAAATTATTATTCATATGGAAAAGAAGAAAAGAAAATTCCATGTTATTAATATCGACTTCTCTTTCCTGGTCACTTTTTCTCAGACTGTTGTTCATGATCTCTCTGATGTTTGCTCACAGGGAAAGCAATGGCATCAGTACCCTCTGTTGGTTGCCTTCTGGCCAAAAATCAGTATTATCGAAGTAAGTTGTATCATCATTAGAAGATATACCTAGAGGATATGTTTTGAGGTGTCTGTGAGATATTAGTAACTTATGTATCATGTCCTGGTCAAAACTTAAGGGAAAACACCAACAACTATTTGTGACAGTGAAGAAAATAGGAATAGAACTCATCAGAATCAAAAATAGGAATAGACCTCTCTGAATCACTATTATCAAGGAATTCTCATCTCTTTGTTTTAACTATGTTATGTTGTATTGATGTATTGTTTTAACTGTGTTATGTTGTATTGATGGAGCCATTAACATAAAAAAGTGAAAATCAGCTTAAATTCTATAATTATGTTTAATTATAATACCTTGCACTTAATAAGATACATTAAAAACAGATAGTTTTATATAAATAAAGTATTATTTATTCCTTAGAAAAACAAGGATAGCATGATTATGTTTCAGGGGTTTTCTAACTTCCATTTACTGCTATGGATAATATATCAGCATTTATTGCATGTATCGAGTCAGTTTTATTTTTATCTATTTATCTGTAAGTATTCATAGTTTAATAGAAAACTGTAGCTTCTTAAAGAAAATTCAGAAATGTCATTAAATTAAATGATTATTTTAAAACCAAAGTATCAGTTATTGAAAATATGCCAGCATTATATATATATATAAAAAAAAAACTCTTATTTTTAAGAGTTAGAAATATCTGTTGATTTATTCTTTTTACAACAAGGTTAAACTATACTCATTTACTTGGTTTTATTATATCTACAGAAGTTATTTTTATATTCTAATCTTTTTAAAAGAGTGATGGGTTTCAAATACAAGTATGATAAGACAAATAGTTTATTTTTAAAAAAAAATAATTTCTTTATTTCTGAATTTGATAGCTTATGTAAGCTATTTAAGTACATACATGTAATAATTCTTGATTTGTACTTCCTAAGATTTTTAATGTAACATTTGTAGCATATTTTAAATTTTATAACTGTACTTATGGGGAGTGGGAGAGCCATCATGGAAAATAATATATTGTATTGATAAAGAATGTAATATGCCTTATTCTGGAAGACTTTTATTTAATTTTTCAATTCATAAATTTATGAGCCAGAAGTAAATAGTAAATCATTTCAAATCATACTACTTGAGAGATTAGAGATAAATAATATGTGTGTGTTTGCTTGTCATGTATTTGTTCATTTATTATCATTTATTTTCTCTATAAGGGCAAGTATTTCTTCAATTAGCTCTCTTATTGGTTCTGACTCTGTTAATTTCATAGATGAGGACAAATCTCAGCAAGGTATTTGATTTATTTCTTATTAGTAGCACCCTCATTATTTTTGTTTATTTGTTTTTAATATCTCAAGTGTGTTTGATAAGAGAGGAATATAAATTTTATTTGATAGGGTTACCTGAACTGGCAGAATCCACCTGGTGGTTTAAATTCTTTTTTTATTTTGAACCTGTGCTTTCAAATGTAAGAAAAGAAGTGTCTGCCAATGGGTAAGTTGCAGCCTTTTCTAATAAGAATGTTTCTTACTTAGTGAATGAAACAATGTATGTAGTAATTATTATGTTGACAAATAAGAATAAAACAGTTATTTTTTGAGGATGGTGAAGGCTTTTTACAAAGCATACTTGTGGGATGGGGAGGAAAAAATTAGTTGCTCTTTCATTCTAGTTAGCCATCAGTCAGCGCACTCTCTTTCTATTACTAGAGAGTGATTAAAAAGTCATATGCCAATTTTAATCCTTCTTTGGCAAGGGGCACTGATTGATAATCAGAGTCAAGATTCTAAGTGTGTTTTTTCAATACCTTCAGGAAACAAATAACACCTATTCAGTTGCTGTCCTAAACAACCTACTTTAGTCCCACTACTGTTTTTTTCAAAGTACTTATTGTTTTTATACAATGACTAATACTAATACTAATAACCAGCTACTAAACGAAATAAAAATAATAAATAATGATAGAGTTCATAGACTCTAATGTTAAAACATGAGTTTTGATTAATTTTTCATGTATAATAAATTTAAAATAGAATCAATTAAATATTGATACTTTTTAAAATTAAAATAAGACTAATTTTTGAAAAGATATATTCTTTACTCTATCAAGTATATTGATTTGAATTATCTATGTGTTTCATTTATTTTCTAGTTTACTTTGACTATAAAGGCAATCTAACTTACATATAAGCATTTCTCAGCTAATTATTTTTATATTGTAATTCAATGAATATTGTTTATTTTATATAGTACTAATTGTTGATTCTGACAATCAAAATAACTCTACCTGCTACAAATGTGAATCAGACCTTTCAGCATTGAGCTATTCCAGATGACTTTTCTACATTGTAAGAAGACAAAAATCTGCCTGAAATCTTTTTTTAGACATGATCACAGCAGCCACTTATGAAAGGTCAAACATTTTCTTCAAAACTAAGACTATTGATGTAAATGGTATCAGCTTCATGGAGAATATTAGAAAAGCATGTTTTAGAAGCACATGCTCTTTTAAAGTAATGAGTCTTCAAATGTAGTAGCTTTTTCATTATCCATATTATTTTTCCGAAAAAAAAATTAAAAGTTTTATTTATTTATTTTTTTAGTTTGTAAGACTCTATGCCTGTTGAATGACTTATCATACCTTAAAACAAGCATTGATGCCTAACATAATAGTTTAAAGGGCATTGTATTCAAACATGTAAAAGAGTTGCAAAATTTTATTTTTAATCATGAACACTGGAAATAGCAAACATACCTATTACCTGTTAGATACGTTACTGTACATCTAATCAAATGGTTATTGTGTAGCCTTTAAAATTCATGATTTTAAACAATATTTAACAACACAGAAACTTATGATGATGCAATGTTAGGTGAAAATAGCAGGATAATCTATATTTGGTTTGATTTTAGTTGTATTGAAATGTATATATGCATAAGAATAGATTGGAAGGGAATATAACACAAAAGTAACTGGCTGTTTCTGAGGATGGGATTTTGGTTGGTTTACATTTTCTTCTTTATATTTTTTCTGTATCTTCTCAAATTTTCTAATAAGACCAATTTTTGTGTATAATTAGAAAAATAAATATATTTATAAAGGAGCACTGGAATGATTTTCTGAATGTGAATAATTTCTAATTTCCTCAATATTGGGTAGATAATACTTAGTGTGCTTCAATTGAAAAGTTTCTATATACTTGCAGATATTTTCCAATGCAAGATGCTATGCTTAGAAATTAAGGATGCTGAACTTACTCAGAGGTAGATATTTCTACAGTATTTTGTAGCTAATGTTGCATTAAACACTCCCTAGAATATACATGATTGTTTATTAGTAGAACTATCTTCTTATTCAACTACATAACTATGAGAAAATATTAAGACTAACCATTCTCTATGATAAACATTATTGACCATTTAATATACTTTCCAAATGGGACATACATTCCTTCAATTCTGTGGCCCTCCATCACTTTGCTGTCAATGAAGGAACTCAAATATCACTTTGGCTCAATAGCATATCATTGTTTACATATTATTGCTTTTCTGGTTGTTGTTTTCATTTATAATTTTTAAATTGAGATAAAAATATAAAACAAAATGGTAAATTTTGAGATGCTTTAGTTTTATTTTAAGATTATCAACAAATTTCTTCTTACTTAACTACTCTATATATATGTGAAGACATTGCTTGATTAGGTTATATAATAAATTTCCCCAAAGCATCAAAATTGTTGCTTTTGTATTAGTTTAGTGTTACTGTTGCTGAAAGTTATTGTTTAAGGTAGTTGAATTTTACATAGGATTTTAAATCAAACATATTATCATGACCATATAGTTATTAAGCATTTTAGAGTAGTTAATGCAGATGCACACATATATATGTGAGTTTAGAGAGATAGATGATCAACAGGTAGGTAGACAGATGATAGATGATAGATAGATAAATGATAGATGATAGATAGATATAGATGATAGATATAGGTAGATAGATAGATAGATAGATAGATAGACAGACAGACAGAGGGTAGAAATTCTAGAAACAAAAAAGGAATATTCTTGAAAAGTAATGTTAATGTGAGTTCTTATAAAATAATTTAAAAAGTAACGTATTCCTGCATACTACCCCTGAATTTCTATAGAATTAAGATGATAAAAATAAAGAGAACAAAATGTTTTTTTCTGAGTAAATTCTAGTTAATTGCTTCTAATGTAATTTTCCTACAGTCAGGTACTTTAAAAAGTAACACACACATAGGTCTCAACATAACTGTGATTTTAGCTAAAATATTTCCTGCCTGGCTCTGTTGCCTATTGGGTACATAATAAATAGTGACGTTTAAATATGTTAAAGGTGTGTTATAACTCCAAATGACTTTAGATGTGCTATGATCCTTCTAGTATGATATTATAATATATTATTTGACTTGGCTAGGATGTCTGTATTAAATATGACCAGGTTTTGATAATTTCTGCCCAGGTTCTGGGAATTTATATGTTGAGATTCACTATTTTATTTTTGAGATATGATTTTGATAGCAGGTTCTGAGTTATCGATCCCCATATCCTTTATCAATAAAACATCAACGGCCAATTCAGCAATTTGCAGTAGAGCAAAATTTCTCTATTTGGAATTTAAGACTATTTGGTGCTTCATATATTCTGTACAAGTTAGGGTTGTGGGATACAAAATTGCAGAATTCTATTTGCTATGAAAGAGAGACAATGGGAAATCTTCGTTCAGGTTGAATGGAGTAGAGCTGAACTTCTAACTCATAGAAATTTAAGAAATGTAAAGAATCGTAATTTATCCAACCTCCCGTTCATATTCTTCAACCAAATGTGTCAAAGCCTAGTTCATGATCTAATACCTTACAATATCTTCTGGTAGTTTCTCCTCTCTCAGAGAATGGCCATATCATTAATCAGCTCAAACAAGTAGCAAGTTAATCTTGATATTCTCATAGTCAATCCAATACCAAGTACTTTTCAGTTTTATTTATTTTTTTTATATTTCTTGTATCTACCTACTTACTTCCTTTTCTACCAGCACTACCTGAATCTCAACTTTCACCATTTCTCCTGAGGAATACTGCCATCACATTCATATACCCCTTTTTAGATCTTATTTGAATGTCCTCTTCGGATTAGTCACGATCATCTGCATAAAACACAAATCTGATAAAACTCTCCTGTGAATACATACATAAACATACTCACACACCCACAATATTCATAAATTTTATTTTTCTCAGGATAAAGTCATAACTCTCAAATCTCCACATACTCTAGCTGATGCAGATCTCTATAATCTGTTCTTGTATCTTGCTCCCCTCAGCTCCCGTGTTCCAGTTACATCAGCCTTTGTTCTCAGTCCTTCCTATACATCATCCTTCCTCTTGCCACAGGGCCTTTTCGTATGCTCTTCCCTCAGCTTAGAGTCTTCACTTAATACATACTCATATTTTAAATCTTAGCTCAAAAGTCTCTTCCTCAAAGAAACCTCCCATCTACTTAACTAAATTAGATTTTTTATTATAGGCTCTCAGCTCATTTTTCTCGTCGTCTTAGCACTTCTACAGTTATAATTTTACATTTGTTTGTCTAGTTGTTTGTTTTCTCCACTGCACTATAAACTACACAAGGGCAAGGATCATGCATGCTATACGCAACATTTTATACCCAGAATCTGACATATCAACAAGTATTTGTCAAATGAATGACAATGGCTCTTTAGCTAGAAGTGGCTCTCTCAAGAAGTGTTATGTTTCAGTGAAGAGTAAACACTAAATTAATAAAAGAAAACATTTTTCAAACAGTGATAAGTGCTATAAAGCAAATAAAACAAAGTATTTTGGGCAAGAGCGATTGAAATATGACAGAGGTTGAGGGAAGGCTGCTTTAATTGGTATAGTCAGGAAAGGTCTCATTGGGAAGATGGCATGAGAACTGAGTGGGAAAGAAGAAAAGCGATCAATTTTGTGAAAAGTATTCTAGGGAGAAAAAATAGCAGTGCAAATTACCATGCTTTAAATAAGTATATCCAGTCTCTTGTTACGTTGTTGTCAAGAGACAGCTGGCTTGAAAGAATTTGGCATTTTCTAGTGGAGGTTAAATTGTCTACGATGTTTGGTTTATTTCCAACTAAACCCAGGATAAGAAATGGTGAGGTCTAGGGGACTTTCTTCTGAAAGTCTCCCAAGGTGATCTATGAATTGTTCAAAATCACACTGCATAGCAAGTAGCATGCACGTAAAATCAGCATGCATGTAAAATCACCGTCGTCTCTCACAGTTCTTATGAATGCCTTGAGTCCTGTGAGGCACAGCCTCACAAGCGTCTCCAGTCTCTGAAATAATTTTCTAAACTAACAAGGTAAGTAAGTTTTACTTTATTATTTTTTTCCCACCTCTCATACCAAATGGATAAATAAATTTCTATCATTTTAAAAATTCTTTTCTAGTTTCTTTTCAAAAATTTGTCTTATTAGAACTATTTCTTATCAAAGAACAAGAAAAGGAGAGTCCTACAGTTACTCTCCTTCCTCAATAGTTTATATAGAAGAATGTATTTCAGTTTTGGTGTCTAAAATTTTTTCTGCTATTACAGTATAATTACTTAGTTTCCAAAAGGTTGAGAGGGTAAAAAAATATAATGTGTTTCGAATATGGTACTTCAAACAACTTTTATTCAAGCTTTAAATACATTTTAATTCATTATAATCAATTATGTATTTCATTTATTCAGAAAAAAATGATTTGTATTTTTGTTATAGTTTTATCTAAATGTGTGGGATATAAAAGTTTTGCTTCATTTTGAATTAGATATTTTGAAATTTATTTGTCTCCAGATTGTAAACTCAAATATATTAAACCTAGTACTATCATACTTATTTCATTAACAGCCAACTGGAGTGTGAACTTCATAGATATTTTATCCTTTTTATGTGCTTAGCAGAGGTTTTCAAATGAGTGAATGGTTACTGGAACTATGATTTGTATGTCAACTCACTTTAAAGGTTAAGATTTTGAAATTCATTTGCAAGGAAGAGTGACAAATATTTTACTTTCAAATAAACTACCCTTAAAAATATTTGTGCAATCTTTAAAAAACACATTTAGGAGCTATCCATATTTAAATTTCAAGCAAAATTTCACTATGAAAAGTGAAGACAGATAAATTCCGCAAAGTAAACTGATCATATTACTTTGTTCTTTGTCATCCTAAATGGATTTCACATATCTATTTATTTCCTGTTACAGCTGATACTGCTTAATATTCTAGAAGGAGATCATATGGCTCTCTCTATTGTGCAGAAAACATCCTCCTAGCTTTATCATGTTTGGTTGCCTTTCATTGCGGTCCTTGAGCTAGAAGCACATTTGAGTCTGATGATGAATATAAGAACTCAATAGGTCCTGAATTCTGGACTCGCATTAGTAGGATTTCAAATCAAAAGCAAAATAGACTTCATTCAAAGCAGCAGTGTAGGACTGGAATAGAAATTTGGGAATCTGCAGGTGAATTAATTTTTCTTAAACATATTTTAAAAGTTTAGCCAATCTGTAACTAGTCAATTAATTTCAATGTAACCATTAAGTATTTTCTTTTTGAAAAATCCCTTTAACACTAATACTCTTTCTCTTTTCAAAATTCTAGAAAGTATTAAACTTCAATCTGCCAAATCTTTTTTCATCCAATTATTCCAATTATTTATTTATAGTGTTTAGGTGAAACACTTTGTGTTTCTTCAAATGTCAGTAACAACTTCTTTAATGCTAAATAACTAAAATGACAGGTAATAGAGAAAGAGAAAGGCTGAAAGTGTATTATAACAGTATAACAGCTCTGCAAGAGCCTTGGTTGTTACCTAAAGAGATAGCAATTTATCTTAGCAAAGCTGCAGCCCTGTAATTCTCAAAATTTGCTGTGCCTAAAAATCAACAGGAGTTTGATAAAATGCAAATAGCGAAGCTCCATCTCCAGAAATCTTAAATCAATGGACCAGAACTAAGACCTAAAAATCTTATTCTCTATTAAGGCCTCCTGATGATATGTATATGATATGCAGAGAAATGCTTTATTAGATTGGTGAAAACTGCAGCTGTCCTCTTATGAAATCTTGGGAAACAAGCTACTATGTTTAGCTGTGGTTATAATTGTAAATGTGGAAAGCTCAATTAGCTTGAGAAAGCATGATTCTGAGGAAAAAAATCATGTAATATGGAAAAGTTATTTCAAATGAAAAAGGGTTAGGAGTTGAATATGTATAATCAATCCACTTCAAAGATTGGAGGAAGAGCTGGAATTTAGAAGAATTTTTCACTTTTATAGTTTTTCTGGTGTCGGAGATTCTTGTTCTATTCCACAAGAAAGAATTCAAGGGCAAGGTAAATAGCAAGCAAGAAAGCGCAAAATTTATTAAGATATACATTCAAAGGAGGGGGGAGTAGTGCAGGTTTACTCAAGAGAAAGAGAGTGAGCGTGCAAGTCACACCAAGATAGCTGGTTATTAATTTTTTGTTTTCTCTGAGTGTGGAGACTGGAAAACATAGTGCTGATGTAGCCTTGTTGTCTCCTCCCAGTAGGCGGGGAGCTTGGATTCCTGCTTTTCCTTCTTCATATGGTATTTCTGGAACTATCATGGTGTCAGCTGCATAATGGGAGTGGCAGTATTTGTAATGCAGATTAGATAATAATGATATTATAATTAGCCAAAGGTCATGCCTTAGACGAAGATGGAGTCTAGGCTGAAAAAGACTGGTTTTGGCTTATCTCCCCTGCTAGGGCTAAAACAATGGGGGAGATCTAAAGAAAGGAAAGATTTATAGAGCCATATACTGGATGGAGAGGGAGTGTTCCTACACTACCTGTCCTGCCTGACATCTACATCCTCAAATGTTAATGTTTACAGAAAATTGCTTGTTTTAAATTAAAATATACTACCTGTTTTTCAGTTCTTAATTCACTCATGACCTATGTTAGAGATAAGTGCAATCTAAAAGAATGATAATTTTTCTCAATTTATCTTCATTGCCCAACTATCATATAAAACACATATTATGCTTATCTGAATATATATAGATATATAAAATTAAAAAATACATAGATATAGATAAAAACATATAGATTCTGTGACACTATGGGTGTTAAAATAAATATAAATAACTGGCCTATAAAATATTTTTTTTAATTTTCAAAAATAGCAGTAGTGAATTAAATCATTGTAGATTAAGAGAATCACTGAGAGTGGAGATGTGTGCTGGCTTTGCTAAGGATATCCTAATGGCAATATTTGTTTTATTCATTCAGCGATTATATATTGGCTATGTGCCAGATACTCATCTGAACTTTAGTCTCACATAAGATCATTTTGTGTAAGTATAAGGAGGAAGAATTTTCTACCAATGACTAGAGGGAAAGCAGATAATCACACTTGTTCTGCAATGAAAGAGCTGAGAATATTAAAGCATACTAAATGCCTGCTAAAGAAGCTTGCAGTTTGGCCAGGTAGGTAGAAGGGAAGAACAATTAGTAAACTGAAGTTAAAAATAACCACTGAGGCTGTAAACTTTAAGAAAGTGGAACAACAGAAATA